AATAAAGCAACAGAAAATTAATGGGTGATGATTTTGATGATCAGTTTTTGTATCTGCCAGTTTTAAAGCAAAATTGCCAATTAATCTGCTTTTAATTGACATATATGAGAGTAAAATTAATATCTTTGGGTTTTAGGCTGTTCAAACAAAACAAGGGATTTTAATACGTCACACTGGCCTTTAGGAAGCTGTCTTCCCTGATATTTTATAGACAAAATGTTAAATTGATTTATCTATTAACAGTTATTCTCTGTGGGCTACAACACTGTAAAGACTGCAGCAGTTTTACATCACTCTTACATCTTGCTGGCCGTGTCGTAGCAGACGATCTTCTTGTCCAGACCGACGCTCACCACCAGCAGCTCACTGGCAGGGGAGAAGGCCAGGCCGGTGCCCGGGGCCTTGTGGGCGCTGTCGAACATGTGGAGCTCCTTCTGGGTGTTGGAGTCCCACAGGATGACGGTGCCGCTGTCAGAGACGCTGCCCAGCAGGGAGCGCTTCAGCATGGACAGCCTCAGGTCATGGATGGGCTGAAGATAAAACATGAGTTTGAAAATATTCTCAGAAAAGAGAAATCGCAAACATCAGAAAGTGTTTGATTAGAGGACATTTGTTTGAATTTAAATCCTAAAGTTACACAGTAAATGTTCCTCAGACAAACACAGTAGACTGTCTGACCTGGTTGCTGCCGTGTCCGAAGGGTTTACTGGACAGGTTGGTGGTCAGACTGTGGAGGACCAGATCTCCACTGGTGGAACCGGAGGCGATGTAGCTGTCATTGGCATTGAAGGACACACAGGTCACCTCTTCTTTATGGTCCTGAGCGACAGAGGGAGAAAGTCATGACAGGTGTCCCCTTAAACCTCTAAGAGATCTTCAACATTGATGAGGTTTAAACACTGTGAGGCTGTGGAACCTCCTGACAGCTCAGAGAGTGATATAAAACACTTAAGAACAGACCTTTTTATTGTATTTTCTAGTTTATATTGCTTGAGATATAAGGTGTACATGATGTCTAATTCCTGTCCTGTGTTACCTTGAGAGAGCGGTGAAGCCTCTTAGTCTTCAGGTCCCAGATGTTAACAGAGTGATCCAGACCTCCACTGACAAGAAACTGAGACGACGAACTCAGACTCACACGGGTTTGCTTTTTCTGAACAGACAATTAAAGAGCCGAGGGTGAGTACTAAAATACTCTTTGTTGATTGAAGGTAAATGTACACAAAATATACAGGTAAGTAAACAGTACAAATGCGGTGTGCTCACCCCCTCGCCAAGTTCCACCACTGGAAGAGGAGTCGATTTAAGGCTGGAAACCACCAGTTTGTCTCCACTGCTGCTGGCACTGACCAGGTACTGGTCTGAAAGAGCTGGTCAAGGAAAGACCAAACATCAACACTTCACACAGGCTTTATGAATTATTTTTTTGTTCATAGATGAGATTGAATGAGACATACTCTCAACAGAAGAGTTTTCTCTTGATTCACAGTAAAACTATTTGGCTTTACAGCTGGATGAATCTTTCTTGAGTCATATTTAGAGGCAATTTTTACCGTTTTGGAGTCTAAACAAGCTCTGAAAATGTTTTGGAAAAAGCTGATATGGAGCCGTGCTTTAGTAGATGTATAGAATCACAAACCTCTTCACAATTAGAAACTATTTTGATATTACATTAATTGTTTGAGTCACTTTTTCAGATAAAACTATAAACTAACTCCAGCTTCTCAAATGTGACAAGTTGCAGTTTTTCTTATGTGATAATAAACTGAATATCTTTTACGTTTTAACTGTTATTGGGACAAAACTTTGGGATTCAGGGAATTTTAATGAGCATATTCAAGTATTTCCTGACATTTAACAGACTAGATTATTTATCAATTAATCAAGAAGATAATCAATAGAATTCAATAATGTCTTTCTATCTATTCGTCAGTCAGGATACTGTTGGAGCTCCAGCAGGCCTGTGCAACAGGGTGGCTGATGCTGTGAGGGTTAAACTGCTCCAGCGGTGCCATGGAAACCGCATCCCAAATCTTCACACAGTCTCCTGTCGACACCAGGCGGGTCACCTCCTCCATGGCAACACCTGGATACAAACACACAGACACAAACATGCACTCATGCATCACTGTAATGTGCAACAAGCAATTTCAAAGTGTCACCTTTGGAAATTATGATCAACGTGTTTCTGACATCACTTAAAGAACACGACTGATGATGATGGTTTTGGGACACAGAGAAGGAAAGTAAACAAGCAAAAACAGAAGTTAAATACTGATGAAGCAGAAGTTACAAACATGCAGAAGAAAAAGGGAAGAGAAAGATAGAGACGACAAAATATAAAACAATGAGAAATAAATGTAAATAACCCACAAGATTAAAGTTATAAACTCAAGAAAACAAATTACTTTCAAGATCATTTAAAAGATGTATGCTGGTTTGACTTCTCTGAGACTTCCAGGAAAGCTGATTCACGGTCACTGACGTCTTTCCAATATCCAATTAAATTCATCCAACATTTAAAATTTTACTTTTTTCTCCTTGCAGAAGGTTTTTATACTGAAAAGACACCTTTTTTCTGGCTTTTGCCTTTATCTGACAGGACAGATTACTGGAGTGGGGAGGGGGGTAATGACATGCAGCGAAGGTTCATGGGTTGGAATCCAAACCACGGCCGCTGCGACAAGGACACTACCTTTCCTTTGTACATGGGATGCCTGCTCTACCCGCTGAGCTACTGGGCGCCCCGTGAAAAGACGTCTTTATATATTTTCAACAACACTGACAGAAATGATACATGACAGCAAGTACATTTACTCAAGTACTGTTCTTATGTACAAATTTACTATATTTGAGTATTTCCATTTTATGCTACTTTCTTCTTCTCCACTCCATGTTAGAAGTATTGTACTTTTTACTCCACTACATTTATCTGTGAGCTTTAATTACAAGTTGCTATCTGTCCAGTGTTTGTGATTAACTGAAGGATTAAGAGTTTCTTTATGAGCTGAGAAAAGTCTCCTCTTTCTTAAGCTAAATACACACTTTATTTAAATGAGCACTACGTATAGCAGTAAAATGACACGTACACATTAATGCAGCAGAAATATTAATTACAAAAACATCAGACAGAGGAGGAAGACACTGACAGCATTTAACATTTAACTGGAACATACATACTTTAACTACATGTTCATTAATACATGCTTTAAATTAAATAAGGTTTTGACTTCAGGACTTTAACTTGTAGTGGAGTATTTTCACAGTCTAGTATTAGTACTTTTACGACAGTAAAGTATCTGAATACGTCCTCCACCACTCTTAAAATGTGCATGACAGGTAACGTTACCGTAATAAAGTAATAACGTTAATTTAAATGAATTAATTAACAGTTAACAGATTAACAGCTCATTTGTCCATGTTTGTACTAAACCCCCTCAGTTTAATGAGTTAACCGGTAGTTACGATAACCAGCAGCAGATGAAGTTAGTTGATGTTAGCTAACAATTAGCAACAACAGAAGACAAAAATAGCCACAGCGGGTTTTTAAAAGTTACCGAACACTCGTAAAAATCAGGTCAAACAACACGAAACAACCGGTAACTTGTCTGAAATGATTCAAACGTTATAGATTATTGTATAAAAACGTGTCATACTCACCGTGACAGATAAATAAACTGGTAACTGACAAGTTAGTGAAGCCGTTTTGTTTTGTGATCCGCCTGCAGCCAATAAACCGCCACGACGGAGAGTCGGGAGAGACAAAAAGTAGAAACGCTTTTTTTTCTTCAAGTAACTTTATTGTACAGAACTTTGGTTTACATGCAAATATAAATACATAATATAAATATATTAAATGATATAAGAATAATCAACAATTTTACGACACTACAAATATAATAATCTAGCATTTGATTATTATTATTATTATTATTATTATTATCATCATCATCATCACCATCATCATCACCATCATTAACTATACAATGTCAGAATCAGAAATACTTTATTGATCCCTGAAGGAAAATTGTGATTTGTTTCAGTCACTCCGATTTAAAGAATAGAGAATTCTAAGAAGTGAAAATAAGATTATTAAAAAGAAGTTTAATTTAATTTAATTTAATTTAATTTCAGTTTAGTTTAGTTTAATGCTTATTTCCACCTGTAGTCCTTCACATAATAAGTACACGCAATAAATAAGAATAAAGTTCAAGGTGCTATGCAGACTACAGTAAATCCATGTGCCTTACATAAGCCAAAAAAAAAAAAAAAAAAATCAGAAAGCGGTCATTGCATGGTCAAAAGTATGTAAATATAAAGTAATAATTTCAATAAAATAGAAATAAAAATGTGCATTATGTTACAATGTTAACACTAGTAGTTAAGATGGTAGGAATAATGGGTTCTTGCTTTTTTTGCTTTGACTATGCCAGAGGGATTTTTTCCCTTGCTTACGGGCTTGATGAGGTCACCTGATGACTTTTTGTATGATCACTGCTGTGCTGATGGACTTTTGAATGATTAATATTACGAAGACTGCAGCGACAATGCTGTGCTTTTGTTTAGTCTGTGCTGTTTGTGTTAATGTATTTGTTTTGGGGATTTTTTTTGTATTTGTTATTTTGTGTTGATGTTCATAAAATAGAAAAACCTTAATAAAAACCTAACCACATTTCTGCATCAATACTTATGATTTAATTATATCATCCATTTTCAGAAATGGGCCATTTTGCATAATAAGTACTTTTACTTTTGGTTGTTGGAGCAGTTAAAATAAAGGAATTAAATATAATATATATGAAATAGAATAAAATATTTAATATAATACTGTGGTAGACTGGTAGTGCATTGAAAATACAGAAAACTGGGAAGTTCATGCTGCAGTGTGTAACTGTGATTTACCTTTACCATAAAAGCTGTAATTACACCCATCCACCTGAGGAGGTCAGCATTGTGCCATCACTGTCAGAATTAAAGGAACAGAAGAAGAAATCTCCCGCCCCATCCGCTGTTCTTTTTAAACCAAGGCGGGACTGTTCACCGTGTTCACTCAGTCAGTGTAGCTGGTGTTGAGACATCATCTGACTTAACAGGTCGCTACCAACATGGTGAGGACTAAAGCCGACAGCGTTCCCGCAACATACAGAAAAGGTACAGTAACATATCGCAGATATTTATTGCGAATTTAGCAAAAAAAATGCTAATTTGTGCGTAGGTGTGTCTGTTTTGTTACGGAGTCTGGCGGGCTGGGAACGCTAGACTAACGTTACATCTCAAGACAGAGCGGGCAGACTGTCATAAATGTTTCCCGCGAACATTTCTTTGACATAAATGCTACTAAGTTATTTAATAACATACATATTAGTGTGTCAACATAGTAGGCATATGTAAGTAAGTTAAATCCAGGACCAGTCTTCAGAACAACAGCCTCCCGCCAACACTGAGGCTGAGTTCATGGTTCCTCCTACACAGCCGAAGAGATTATTTTAAAAGACTGTTTAACGACGTGGTACCTTTTTAAACATCGTACTTTCCTTTCAATGTTTAGATAAGTCTGACGAGATGACACACACTTGACCTTTTCCAGAAGTTAGTGCCTTCTTTCTGCAAAGTGGCGCCAGTTTTGAGCGCCGTAGAGCGCTTTGTGCGGACGTCACACCAAACCCCTTTAAAAAGTTGCGTAATTTAACGCATTCTTGTTAATTATTGATGGCAGATATGTAAAAGAGCATAATGCACAATATCTTTTTTAACCACGATGTTTTCTGGTAAATTCGGCATAGAATCCACCCACTGTTCATCACTCTAATTAATAAGAACATAACTTTAAAACTTGGTTCAGGTATCATTGAGTGTAAAAACTCATTTTAGTGTCTATTTATTGTGCCAATGCTCACATACAGACACTGACGAACAATTTCACACTGTGGCTTCTTTTTGTCTTGTGAACAGACTCTTAAAAGCCCACTTTATTCAGTCACTAAAACAAACAGTACTCTGCTTTTCTTTTACTCTCTAACTCTTGCACAATCCAGTTCCCCCACATGATGCATTCAAGTGTCATCTTAGCTGATATATTGTTTGATGACATGGCTCTACTGGATCCAGTTTTATCCTTTGATGTTTTTAACATTGCAATCCCATGTGATTGTATTTGCAGCTGTTGCAGCGGCTGCACCCCGGAAGTCTCTGGGCTCCAGCACAGCCAATTCCTCCGCCTCCTGCAGCCAGTCAGCCACACCTGGTAGGTCACTGCAACCACCTCCACCCCTGACACAACATCACACTCGGTGTATACACAGTGCCTGATATGACGGAGTTGATACTGACATTTTGATGTTTTTAATTCACAGCAAAGAATAAATATGCAGGTGGTAACCCTGTGTGTCCGCGTCCCACGCCGACCTGGCAGAAGGGCATCGGGGACTTCTTCGGTGGCCCCCCGAGGAAGATTGAGAAAGAGAACCAGATGCCTCAGGAGGTAGAGGATGGTGAAGAGGCCGGAGGCAGCGGCGTGTCAAAGGCCAGCAGGAAGTATGTTAACGCTGTATTAGGATACATTGGTTTTATCTTGTAAATTTAGGCTTAAGACACCAGAGGTTAGATTTTCAGGTGCACTGTTCTTCTGAAGACAACTCAAACACTTTCTTATTACTGGTTAATCAGTACTGTTTTTCCCCCCCCCCATTAAATAATGAATTAAAATAGCATGAGGAGAGTCTTACATAACCAAGGTGACATTTAAAAGTTGCTTGTTTTGTCCAACTAACAGCGCAAAACCCCAAAACACTTGGTAAATTTTAATGGAAGACAAACACAGTAAATATTCACATTTAAGACGCTGCAACCAAAGAGATCTGGGCAGTTGTACTTGAAAAATAATCGGCTAATTATGAAAATAGTTTGAAGAGTTAAAAAGATCTTTTCTGGTGAATTCCGTCAGTGGAAATTTGCATCTTGTGACTTTTTTTTTTTTTTTTTTTTTTTTTAACGCCACTAGCAATGTGATATTAAAATCCACTTCGCTCAAGAAATAATTAGTGCTGCACCTAATGGTTGTTAATATTAGTTGCTGATAGATTTTGTCCAATTTACTTTCAAATGTGACCAAGAAATGCAGCATTTTTTTATGCGAGGAGAGCAAATCTGAGAATGGTTGTGTTTTTGCTTGAAAATAAATGTTAAATTATCAAAATATGTCTTTTAATTGACTAATTGTTGCATTTGTAAAATTAGATTGAGTTGGTCGCATGTTGCATTTGATCACAGATTTGTGTTTAAGCTAAAACAAGAGATTTTTATGTTTTTAAGGACTCATCTACTGTCAAATCTCAGAGGTTTCAAGTTACACATAAATAATCTGTAAAATAACTGATTGAACCTTTGTGTACTTAAAAGAGGAACCAAATGTTTGGTCATAAGTTTTTCTGAATTGAATGTAAAATTAGCATTTTTATGTTGGTGTTTTGTTGAAATGTTTTTATAATGAACGAATTCAGGTATTAAGTCCTTTTGCTTTTTGTATAGTAAATTAATTGATCATAGTTGTCTGATGAATCGATTGTTTTATTTTGCTGTGTGCAGGTCCCGACCGCTGCCTGCTGAGGACGAGGAGGACGATGAATGAAGATGATGAATTAATATTTCTGACTGTCAGTTCAATTTCTCCTTCATGGGATCCTAATGTACATCTGTATATAATTATTGCTGAATTCAATTTGTATAGTTCATTAAACTTTTTTTTAATGTTTTTAACCTGCAGTTTCCGCTCTGATGTGTTGCTTTAAACAAATGTTTGCTTTGGGTTTGAAAACAAGATCCAGGCTATTTTCATTATTAATAAATCTGAAGGTTATTTGTTTATGAAATGTCCAAAAATAGTGAATTTATTTCTCTTAAAGTGAATTCATATAATTCCGCATTTCATTTGACCATCAGGTAAAACCCAAAGATATTCAGTTTATCATATGATGAAGGAAAAACAGGGACAAAGCCTGATATCTGAGAGGCTACGATTTGTCTAAATATTTTCTTAAAAAATAAAACGAGAAACTCCTTCCAAAAGGTCCAATGTGGCCCACTAGGTGACTTTGCACACCTAATGCTGATGCACGGCACTTCATGTAAAATGCTGCCTCAGAGGCTTTTCCATCCTGTGCTGAATACAGTTCTCTGAAATAACCAATACCTGTTGTGGTCGTATTTAAGGATGTTGAACATTTTGCAAAATATCATTGACTAGCAGTTTCAATACAATATCAGACTTCTGTTTTAAAATGGGTGGAGCCCTGTTGCTGAGGCACTGATAAAACCTCAGGTTAGAAATGGATATTAAGGCAGGGGATGACATCTGCTTCTCCAACAGCTTGAAAAATTTAGAAAAAAAATGCATAGTAGACCGACTGAGGAAAAACTGACATATCATTGAATTTTTCTCAAGATTTGCAGGCTGTTCATCATTGATTTTGTAAATGGATGAACATTTTCAGAATGTGCTTGTACTTCTTTACACTACTGAAAGGGAAACATTTGAAGGGGTTGTTGATTATAGGTTATTATGAAGTGGTTTCAGTGGTCCGGCCCACGAACTTAAATGAGTTTGACACGCCTGTCTAAACTCAACATGGTATTACTGGAGGAGCAAAGATGAACCCTGTCCTGGTTCAGTCTTGATTCAGAAAATAAATAAACAAAAAACAATTACAACTGATAAAACTGAACATGGACCTTCCCATAACTATATTAATGTATAAAGAGTTACTGCAGGAGGCCTCCATAGTGACAAATTTGTGATTTTGGGTTATATAAAACAAACTGAGTTGACTTGATTCCTGGTTGGACCTCACAAAAATAAGTCTATGAGTAAAATCACTTCCTCAATTAAATAAAACTAAACTTTTTGTAAATAAGATGAAGTGCTGTATTTATTGTATCTGGTATTTTATCCCACTTTATATTTCTACTCCACTACATCTCAGGTAAATATTTACATGTTACTGCAGTGCATTTATAGATTAAACTACCAAACATATATTAATGAGTTAAGATTAGCTCCAACTTGATAAACTACAGTAGTAAAATGCCATTTAAACATACATGCATCAGTGTTAGTAATCTGATTATCCAGTAATTTAATACAGAATAATATAACACTGACAGGGGCAACTGTTCTGCATGATGAGTACTTTAAGTACATTTAGTTTGTAGTACTTCTGTGCTTGAATTAAAGTAGGACTTTTACTTGTAATAGAGTATTTATCCATGTAGGATTACTAGTTTAACTTGAGTAAAAGCTCTGAGTATGTCCTCCACCCCTATTTGTGAATCTGATCACAAGCCTCCTGTTTTTAGCGCAGGCTCCGCCTTGCCGGGATGTCCCGGCACAGATATTAAGTAGACCTCATTTAGGACCCTAAGAGATTATTCAGTCTGTGGTAGATTGATTTATTAGAATATGACGCTTCATATAAACAATAATTTTCACCGAGGCTGCTCTTAAAATCTCTTTAACGTTCACGTAACTCTCCACAAAGCAGCTAACTAGCTTAACACGGTTTTATTGCGTTTATCCATTAGCTCACCGCCTCGTCGAAAGATCCAAAGGTTAAAATCAAACGTCTGAAGGCTACGGAAGCTCGCGCGGTCAAAGCTAAGCTAACGTGGCGAGTAAACAGTCAGAAAATAGCACCGCTGTGTAAATTTAGCTCCTGCAAATCGTTTATGTGAATTTGATTTATCGTCTCCAGCAGGGTAAACTGCTCTGGGTCCTTTAGTTTACTTTTCTCCCGTGTCCTGCTCGGCTAATTCCGCCCTGCTGCCCGTGTTTGTCCGCTGTCAGAAGTGATCCATCATGTCCGGTAATGGTTTAACTGTAGTGTCAGTTAAGAGCTGTGAACTGGTGTAACTGGTTCATAATCAACTGGGAGCCGTCAGAAAGATGTCTGACCGCGGCGGGTTCAGGTGGACGGTGGTGGTTCTGACCTGCCAACACAAAGACAGCGTCTATTCCTTCCAGAGAGGTGAGGGTCATCTTGTTCCTCTGTACGATCTTTGACGTTTAGTTCACTGTAGTCAAGACGATCCACTCCTTCCAGAGAGGAAGTGATCATGTGGTTTGTATACGATCTTTGAACTTTAGACGCTGATGGACAGAATTATTATTATTATTTTATTTGAATGTATTTATGTGTTAAAATCGGTTAAATACCCTTTTTAGGTGAAAAATATTTTAAATATATTGCATTTAAATTATTTTTAAAGCATTTATTAGGTAATATATGTCTCAAAGATCAACAATTTATTTCATCTGAAAGTTGGAAAAATGTAAAATGTTAGTTAAATTATGTAACACAGCATATCTAGTATTCAACTGTACTTATATACATTTTCGAGGTACTTGTTCTTTATTTGAGTACTTAAATGTTATGCTAATTTATTTATATTTCTACTCAACTTTTTTTTACTGCATCATATTTTCTTAATATATATATATATAATTTTTTTTTACAGATTAATACCAAATATAACCAATTCTTAACAGTCTGTTGACAAATGATGATGTATTAGATGTATTATTATAGATTAATCTACTCAGCAGTATGTAAAGTAATTAAAATGAGCGTCTCATTTATCACCTGCAATATTAAAGTGATGAACACATGAATGCGTCAATAATTAGAATTTAATAATGTAATGTATATTGTTATAAGACGGGCCATTCTTTATCAGAAGTATTTTTTACTTTTGGAGCTTTCAGTGTAATTTGATGCAGATGCCTTTGTACTTTTACTGAAGTAGAAATACCCCGGGGTAGAAATACTCTGTTACAAGTAAAAGTCGTGGATCAAAACTTGCCTTCAATAAAAGATCTGAGTACTTCTTCCATTGCTGCTGGATAAATATCAAACATGTCAAACACTGCTGGTTAAAATGAACTACAATGGATTTCACTTTGGTTTGTGGCTGGATGGTTTTTGACACAACAATACATGCAACAGATTAGTGAACTTTATAAACATTTAAAGGGACACTCCGTCAGTTTTACAGTTTATAACCAGGAGTACTGCAGAGTACTGTGCTTGTGAAAACAACTGTATTTTAACGAGAGGAGCGATGGCAGCTAGAAAAACCTGTTCCATTGTTCACATGGACTTGACTGTTTCAAGGTAGACTTGTTTTGAATTACAGCTTCAAGAAGGTACAGTTTTTTTAGCCTATATTACTCTACACTCAGTCATAACAGTCTCCATTCAAAGTGAACTTAATGATCTGTGAGCAACTCCTGTTTGCAGTGTACCTATGAATGTATAGACAACTGTCACTGGATTAGAGGAGGATAGAAGAAGAAAATATAGTGCGCTGCCTTGGACAGGTGGGCTGTGCGGTTGGAGGTTAGGTGCCTTGCTCAGGTGCACTTTGGTGGCTTTAGACAGGGCCAACTGAGTTTTTGCATTTTCACATCAGCCTCCGTAGTTTTCCTACATGCTTGTCATATGGTAAAAGTTTCAGTTGGTTGCAACCTGCAACGTCGCCGCTAGACACCTCTGAATCCTACACGCTGGACCTTTAATGTGTCGTCTTATGTTTACAGTATATTTACCCAACAGTTGATTATAGCTGCTGGAACATTCAGATTATGTTTTTCCTATTTTAAAATCTGTTTTGGCTGCAACATTCCTGAACTACCTTTAGAAGATTATAACGACCTTAGAAGAGCATTACAGAAATGTTACATACAATTTAAACAGACAGTTTGTGTGTGTTTTTCAGAGCTGGAGTTGCGGCAGCAGCGTGGCTCCATCTCTCAGGGTGCGTTGGTTTTGACCGTGCGGGACCGCCAGGAGCCGCTGGGCAGCGGAGGGGCAACGCTGAACGCTCTGCTGGTCGCTGCTGAACACCTGAGCAACAGAGCAGGATACACTGTGAGTTCACACAGCTCTGACTGATCACGCTGCAACACATGATTACTTAAAGATATTGAGTTCACTGTGATGTCCAACAAAGAGAAGGATCAAATGTTTTAACTATTCCCTGTCGCGCTCTTCCTCAGGTGGTGACAGCTGACGTCCTGGATGATGCTCACATCCTCATCCTCCACACAGTGAGTCCAGCAGCACCACCTTTACTTCTCCAGATGTTGTTTTGTCCTCTTCAGTCTGTGCTCATGTTTTGTTTTCCTGCTGCAGGGTC